CAGTTGAAGCTTCTTACCACTCTCCCCAGGGCAGCCGCGGGGTATGGCTTGATGGATCTAGGGTGCCTTCATGTGCGCTTTGCTTAGGGTGGAGACATCTGGCCATTTTGTTCCCACTTTTACATTTATTTTTTGTTCAGAAGCGCGTGAAAGAGCGTGTCCCTGCACGCGTCTGTGGCGCTGACTGTGCTATGGCGACATTTTGTTTTCGTCGATTTCTTTGCATTTTCCCCGTGAGCGCGTGCCGTCGGCATCGGGTACTACAAAGGGTGGCATCACTCTAAACAGAAGGTCATTGAGGCACCCTAGATGGATCTATCGAGATCCATCAACCCATTTTATAGCCGCTACCTTTGCTCGTTCATTGAGTCGGCGCGAGGAAGCTCGTCGCTAGTAGCAGCTAAAGCGCGCGCTGGGTTAACCCCCCCCCCCCCTTTTTTTCCGCAAAAAAAAAAAAAGAAAGAAAAAGAAAGAGCGTGCGCTTTAGCAACTGAAGGTCAGTTATGGCGGCGCCCATGCACAGCTGCTGTAAAGCGTCTATAAGACGCTTTACAGCAGCTGTGCATGGGCGCCGCCATAACTGACCTTCAGTTTTTGTTCCCTCTTATTCCGTCCGCTTCACTTCATCATTACCACAGCAGGACAGGTTATTGCCACTTTAGATGCTACTGTGCTCTTGTGCCCAGAATAGGCCCTTGTGAAGACCCGTCAATGCCCGCTTCAATGGCTCGGCATCTCGGTAAGACAAGAAAAGGGCGGCTATGGCGGCTCAATCTGGCGCGTGTGTAAAGCGTCTATACTCCGTTTCCCCTTATGTTGTACCGCAGAGAAGGCTAGGAGCGCGAGCTCATAGCGCTGGGAGCTGCTCTTAACGCACGAGAGCTTCTGCCGCCGAAATGTGCCCTAGAGCAAAAAGCTCGCGCTTGTAGCCTTTCCTGCTGTACATCATAAGGTGAAACAGAGTATTAGCGGCAAGATGTTTCGGGGGCGCCCTCGTTTGGTTACCTTTCGTGACGTCATTACCTCGTGGACCACAAGTTCGATGGTGTTTGTAATGGGCATGGTGGAAGCCTGAAATCATAGCGCTCTCAAAGCAACGCTGCCAACACCGTCAAAATTGAAGTTCTTACCTTCCTCTTCCTTCCGTCGATAAGAAATCCTTTGCTGACGTCATTGTCAGCATTCGGCCAATCGTGGCAGGCCGACCACAGCGACGCTTTCGATCGCGCACGTCGCCCAATAGCGGCGAGTTTCCTCCCGCCGCAGGCGCCGAGCAAGCAGTGATAGCGGTGATAGCTTTCAGAGCACTATTGGGCAGGAGATCTAACTATAGGGGGCGCTTTGAACCGTTTGTTGTCAGAGCCGTTTATAAACGGCTCTGCTAGAGCCACTAAATGAGCTGCGCTTAGAGTATCGGCACTCCGTTCCCCGACATTGTTGTGGGCGCCGCCATTTTGGCGCTTGTGCAGAGCAGACGCAACTGCCGTTCGTCTTGTTTCAGAAGTGCGACTTCCTCAGCGTTATATTCGGTGTTAGAAAGCTCTTGTAATATTGATTTGCTCTGTTGCGAACTGTTTAAACATTTGTGGAAGACGGAAAAGCGTTTCTTGTGATTTCAGATAGAGCTTCAGATAACTGGGAGCCATGATTTTAAGCCACAATATGGCCAAGTGTCGTTACTCTGAAGCGTAGCTTATTTAGTGGCACTAGGCTCTGATATATAGACGATTGCAAGCTGGGCGACTGGCCGCCGCCATGTCTCTCCTCGAGCAGGCACGCCCGTGCGATTACGAGCTTGCCAAAGCTACGTTCACCCGCGCGTTGCACGCACTTGCACGCATGGGGCACCACTTGTGGCGCCATGCTTGCAATTGTCTATAAACGGCTCTGTTTGTTGTTTGTTGTTAAAGCCCCAACAAGTTTCAAAATTAGCGCAAGGTAAGTCGTTGCACGAGGCACGTGCAATGCGCAGCCCTTAGGATGATAGCTTATTTAGTGGCACTAAGGATGATCATGGCGACACAGCGCTGCACTGAGCTAAATTTTAGACGCCATGTTCTTCCCAGAATTGGCGCGCGCCACGTGTCTCGAGCATTTCCACAACAATGAATGGCGCAACTTTTCTCAGGATAGAGGGTCTTCATTCATTGTAGTGTGTGTTTGTGTGTGTGTTCTTATAGGTATACACGAGGGAGTCAACTTACACTCTTCATTTCACCCTCATTTTTCTTTTAAAACATTTTTGGTTGCGGCCCTGTGTAGAAATTTGGTATATGTGTGCGTGTGCGTGTTTTTTTTTTTTTTTTTTTTCAAATCCTGGGTGGCGGGCTGACAGGCGCACTCGGGTACGGGTTTTAACCTTTCTGCACAGCCGTGCACGCCACCCAGTATCAGATTTCTGCATGCAAATCAATATTATTACCTCGGTGTTTACTCAACACAAGGCCTGTGCACATGCCCGCAGGCCTTATGGGCATGTCCATGTCATCCTCTACAATAGAGAGTGGGTCATAGTGTAATGCAAAAACTACTAACAATCGACGAAGTGACGTTAATTGCGGCATCTATACCGAAAGCAGTCGTCAGAGAATGCGAGCTTGACCCTCTTCAGCTTTTGTGCTGAGCTAGGCACCGTCCATGCTGCATTGTTCATGCAGGTTGGAGTAATAACAAAAAAGACCCCCCCCCCCCCCCTCCCCCCGAGGAACACGAACTCCAGCAGAAACGCTGACACCGCGTTCGGTTATGTCGGCCGAGCGCTGGTCCATTGTATTTGTTGTCCCCATCCGCATAGTTCTAAAGTTAACCGCTCGGGGCGTCACGGTCTGTCCTCCTCCCCAATACTCTGTTTTACTTAGTGTGGAACGCTGTCAAAGCTAATGGCGCAAGCATGGGGCTTGATCTTGTTGATCATTTGCACGCGTTTTCGCGCAAACAACACCTATGATGAAGCCGCGCGCTCGCGCCACAAGCTTTGACAGTGTTGCACACTAAGTGTGAAACAGAGGATAAGAGGCGCAATGCTGAAGCTTGGAAAGCGCCCAGCGAAGGGCGTAAACACATCGGAGTCGGCCACGCACCCCCACCCCTAGGCTCACTTCCAGGCGGCGCAGCATGTACCGCGAGCCACACGCTTCTCTGTGCCCATTTCATTTTTCCCCGAGTACCTGTGCTCAGTGCACAGCCAGCTATCCCAGGACTTACACTTCACAGCGCAAAAGAGCAGACAAACTACAATGCACTCTCTATTCATTCTCACTAACCTAAAAAAGCAGCAAAAACTATTAAAAAGCCAAATGTCCTACATTATTCCAACGAAAGATAAAATTAGTAATTAACGTACAAAATGAACGTCGGAAAAAAACTCTACAGTTAATACACACGCACACAAAGAAAGCATAACCTACAAAGTCACAGTATCAATAAAACAAATCGCTCAAGAAAACATGAGCTCAATGATTGCCGAGAGAATGCAGTGTCACCAACCTCTACGACGGAATAGAGTGATTTCACGGCTATCTTCATTGCGCAACCGCTGCCGCCACGCTTAGTGGGATCTGTTGTGTTTATGCACACGCGACAACCGCGCTGGAGGTTTGAGCATAGTCTCCTCTATACTCACAAAGCCTGGCAGTTCGACGACGGAGCCATTGAGCGCCCGGTCGCATATCTGGAGCGCGAGGATCTGGTAGCACGGAACATCAAAGAGCCGTTTCTCGGAGAACCTGGAGGTCAGCCCACAGCTTTCGCAGCCACGAGGACCGGAAACACTTGTTCGCTCGGGAGTAGTGTGTTTCGGCGTCTCGCCGCAGCGGGGCTTCAGTCACGTGACTCTCCTCTCATCCCAATAAGCAGCTCTGCTCATCCGTTGTCTCCCGCTCCACCTTTTCCCTTTCGGCGCTTCTCCTAGCGATCTGCTAGGCTTTGTCAGCATACAGGATGCTATGGTTTGGGCGAGCAGTGCACGAGGCGGCGCGAGCTGTCTCGTGCATTGGCACCGAATTCCTGTGAATTACAGTTATGGCGGCGTCACGCATGCGTAGAACGTTTAGTGAGGTCGGTCTATTGGGAAGCTTCTTTCAATCTGGAATTCCTAGTGGGACTGCTGAATCGACGAACGCATAAGTTGTTGCACCGGGCCTTAAACTTTTGCCGTCGGTGGTTCAATCTGAAGGTCTCTTATAGTCACTGCCAGAATAAGAACGGCAGAGTGTGTCTTTCGAACGGCCGTATACAGCCCACGGTCCGTGCTTTGCACTGTGTTTTGGCTGCGCGTGCGCGCTAGAGACGCACGAGACACGGAAGCGTTGTAGAATGTCAGAAGCACGCGAGATGAATGAAGCCCTCTGCCGTTCTCATTTCCTCACAGTCTGCCTTCAGGAAGGAGATATTAGTAGCTTTTTGGTAGAGTTTATTGATGAGACAAACAATAGCAATTTTAATATAATTTTCGGCGGGGGGACAAAAACGCGTTTTTCCTCGAAGGAAAAATAAACTACGCATTGCCGAACGCTACCGCTCTCCCCTTACACACACACATAATTGGTAGCTCTAAGGGGAGATGTCAAGGGTTCAAACCTTTCCATAGGTTGATTGAAAAGTGGTTGTCAGTTTTCGGAAATTCTCATATAGGAAATTGGACGCGTTCCGGAAGCAGACGCCACTCGTCTCGTGTGTTCGGAGGCTTTGTTAGCCGCCACTTCCTTACTGAAAATTTCTGAAAATCGGTTTGAACTTTTGATTTAGATAACGGTTAGTTCAGAACCTTTGGCATCTTGTCCCAACCGACAGCGCTATGTTCGTGTAGAGACTGAGCGTTTCACGAAGCGCAGTTAATTTTTCAGGATAGAACATGTGGTTACTCGCTATTAGCCACCCGCACAGACTCAATTCTGTTATTAGCATAATTAAGCTATTGAACGTTTTAGGCAATCGTTAAAGTGTTCAGTTGCGCGAATCAAGATTAACGCAGGGCGTGATATTTCTTGTCTTTCCCTCAGCGCCCTCCCTCGGCTGACAGGGGCACCATGAGCCTGGTGCAGTCGGCCTTGGCCGTGTTGGTGTGGCCCCTGACGGGGTTCTACCACACCTACCTATGGTGTATATCCTTTGCCGGTGAGTTCTTTTCCACTTTTGTACGGCACGTAACCCTAGCCGCGTCACGTGATCTCACGACGTCCAAGTAGTTCATGCGTGCTCCGACACATTTTGAGAACCTCTATTTTTCTTCGTAATCATAGTCGCATCAGTTTCAGAGAACCCGGCCCGCGTGGTGAGCCAGACAAATCAGCGCCAGTACATACACAGCTGCAATGTGCATCAATGGTGCGCTGCAGTGGTTGACGCGTCCTTGCGAGCTTTTGCACCGTATCGTGCTCTCCTCTGGGAGATGACGAGGAAATCCTTAAAAATGTGACCACCCTACACCCGTAGCATATGCGGGTCAAAACTGTTCGACCGGACTACGAACCGTCAATAGGTTTAGACCTTACGGAACGACGGATCGCCGCTCCTTTATGCGACGGAATCTCCAGATATCGGCGGTCCGACTGTCGAACGGCCGCTGCCGCAGGCAGCACGGATAGCACGAACGTTAGGCTGAGCTAAGCTGACGACCGTCCAACCAGTGTGACGAGCGGTGCGAGTCATGCAAGTCGCCGTGGAAACAATGGACGCTATCGATTCTTTCCGCGTCACGAAAATCGAGCTAATGATGTTTTTCCTGCATGATAACGTGCCTTTTGAGTGTAGTATTCGACTGTCTACCGAAGCATAGTCGTCAAGCTGCATCTTATGCATAATTTAACATTCAACAGCTGGCCAGTTCACTACTTTTGTCTTCAAACTGAATCTGTAGCTGAATAGCTGGTAGATCGTCGAGTGAGGCCGCCGAGGCCCGACTATAGTCGGTGACAGGTGGAGAGTTCAGGGAAAACTCCTCCCTCCTCTTTCCGCTTTAGCAAAGCAAACTCCAGAGAAGAGGCGTCCACCAGCGTTCGCTCTGCTAAAATGAAAAGGTGTGGGAGGACTTTAAAGCAATTAGAGTAAAGACACAGGCGAGCTGGTGACGAATCAGTAAAGAAACCCAGAGACAAGGAGCTAAAGGACAGAACAACACCGTCTCAAAACCAGCATGCCACGCATTTCATTAGACTCAGTCTTCCCTCTTTTCTTCACATCCCCTGGTCATCAGCAGACGCCCCATTTGAAGGTATCAAGCAAAATAACACGTGCACGTCTGCAGTCTTAAGCGTCCGGTTTTTGTTGGTCTAGTGGTTATGTATTCACCGGACGCTTAAGTCTGCAAACGTGCATGTGTTATTTTGCTCGATGCCTTCAAATGGGGCGTCTGCTGATGACCAGGGGATGTGAAGAGAAGAGGGAAGACTGTGTCTAATGAAATGCGTGGCATGCTGGTTTTGAGACGGTGTTGTTCTGTCCTTTAGCTCCTTGTCTCTGGGTTTTTCTACTATGATCGGACGACTTTCCCTTGAGCTGTTCGCCTGTCTCCGACTATTTCCGACTCCAGCGACATGTGGGGTAACCCCTTTCAGACAAATATGGCGGTCTTAGACAGGTCATCCCGTGCCATGTATCCGCTCAATGCGCAACGCTCGCGAATTCAGCAGGCAAGCATTTGACTCCAGATGGGTAGCCCCGATTTTCATTTACTACGTTTCAAATCTGTCGCAATGTAATGGCGTAAGTGAGCTTCCAGAGGCTGACCTTCTCCGGGAAGGGATGGAAGGGCCGCGGTGCCGATGAACGTTGATAAAGGCAGAACGTCTGGTTCACGCGATAGCGGCCCTAGGTTACGTTGAGAGCGACCTGGGCAACACGCTTAAACGACAGTAACAACAGAGTCACCGAAACCACTGTTCCATCACAGCAGCCATCAACAACGTATAATCATGGAAGCCACAAGGGAGGAGCAGAAATCGTGAACGGACCTGTTTCGTTAAGTTTTGTGTGTTTCCCATAGAAGCCTTTCATTTTCCTGCAGTCGCGAATAGCTCCCAACTTTTAAAGAAGCACTCCGGCATTTCTTTAGCTGCTCAAACCGAGCGTTTCTTTCGTGCTGCTGCGCGGGTGCAGGAGCGAGCTTCCAAAGCATTCTTTATGCACCAAGAAACTGCTTTACTCAGTTGGGAACAAAGTCTACAGTCCAAAGAGTGAACCCCTGCCTTCTCCGGACGTCACTTTTTCATTGTTGCCAGTAGAGACTTTCAGTTTGAAAACACGGTGAGGACCAAAATTGTAAATTCAAGAACTTCGAGAAAAAAATATTTTTACCCAATACTTGGGTTACTATTTCAGCGATATGTCTGCTGGTGTGTTCAGCAAACTTTCAGGCAAATAGGGGCTATGCAGAAAACGCCAGTACCCCTTTAAAGGGATACTACAACCAAATTTCGGCGTTTATTTCTTGGTGTATTCGTGTTCAAGTAAGCGGTATCACATTAGGCCCACCAATCTCTCGTTGTAAAGGACACGAAAATAAATTTTAAAACGAATTGAACAATTAGCAAAGGGCACCTGGTGGATGTTGCTTAAGCCTCATTTGAACAGGTGGTGACGATGCCTGTCTCACCTCCGGCCACTACGAGAAAGGAGGGGAGGAAACAACTCCCCTCTCAACAGGACTTTCTTTTATATGTTGCAGACGTCGCTATTGCCCATCTACAAGATCATAGATGATTAACCCGTCACTCAAAATTCGTACAAAAGCAGCTTTGGGGTTAGTTGCGGTGGCCCGATCGCCGGCGTTCTTCGGCCGCTTCGGTGGCTGGAACGGGTAAGACATCCTGTTGACGTAAGCCTCGCCGCAGCTTTGCTCGTCGCGAGACAATCTACTTTACGATTGCGCCGGATGTCATGTGCTCTCCGATGGCTCTCTCCGAGCGCTTGCCAGAGTGGGCCGTTTATAACAAAAATTACAGCCATAAGTCTCAAAATACAAACGCGCGATTCATTACGGATATTGTGGATCATATTCAGCCTATCTCTGAACACGAAGGGTATATTTCAAATTTCGTTGAAGTATCCCTTTAAGACCGAATCGACCAAAACCACCAGCCACATGGAGTAGGTAATATTGAGCAAAAAGCTAACCATTTGTTTGTGGCGATGTGGCCGACAGCCGTAGCGGCCAAAGGCTACATTCCTCTCGACCAGTACGTCTCCCAGACGGCATTCTCAGAAGATTCCTCAGGCAGCGAGGGCCGACACGCGACATGGTGCAGGACCACCCAAACAGCACGTCGGCCCTTCGGCCGACCGAGGGATACGATGCAAGGAGGTGCCGGGAGATGGGAGAAGAGGACAGAATGGCGGCCACGACCAAGTCAGCGCCCTTGGATGACTCGGGAGTAAAGGCTGGGACGGACGCCAACATCGCGGCCTAGCTTAGACATCAAATTGGCCACGAAACGTCAGTTGAATAAATTTTAATTTGATAGAAACCACGTCTATTTCTATTAGTAAAATCTTGTAAGACGCGCAAATTTTAATGTAATCCGATAAAGTAGTCTTGCTCGTTTCAAAAACCAGAGAAAGCACGTGTGTATAATGTCCATCGTGGAAAGACGAAGCTTCAACGTAGAAAGCCTTTACGGAGACACATTAAGGGAAAGGAGGAGGTGAAAGCTCAGAGTGCCGATCTCTGATTGTAGGTAGGGGCCATCTACATTTCTCACTGCCTCCCTTCAGCGAGAAGGAACAAAGAGCATTGTCTGCTCCTCGTGCAGCGTCGCGCGTTCGGATGCCAAAAGCCGGCATCCGAACGCATTCGAACATGGCGTAGAGACAAAGGCAGCTAGCCTTTTCGTCTACCTAAAGTCACCGCATATCCACTGTCCTTTGACGTTTCTGCGTGATATCATAGTCTCTTCTCTCCTAGTTTCTCTTCATTTAGAACGTCAGACGGAGCGGTCGAAGACGCGTTCCAGTCAGCCTGCCCTAGGCCAATACCACCTAGAACACAAGGCCTGCGCGTTTCCTCCTCTAAACGTCATCACTAGTAGATCCCCTCAGCGCCCCCTAGCTGGCCCGGATGAGCAACATCGTCTGCTACATCGTCTGCTCCATCGCCTGCTTCAGTGGTTTGTGTAACAGATAATGAAACAGATGCTCACGCCGAGTGTCTCTTGCAAATAGCATACGGTGAAGTTAGACGTTCACGTGGAGCGTCAAATGCATGAGCGAAATTGCCTTACTGCTGCGCGAAGGGCTGAAAAGCCCTTCGTTGGACGCTGGACGCTGTCACTGGACGCCATTTTCGAGGGCGCTGTTTATACCTCGGGTAGCTGCTTCGAAGCGTTCTACCGCAGAACGAGCGCGCGCGCTAGAAATGCGCGTCTCAAATCCAGGAGCGCGTGCTAGCTCGCGCTCCTGGCCGAGGGAGCGTTCGCGTGCACGTCGCAAATGCACTGGAAGCTCGCTATCAGCTCGAGCTCAGCAGCCACGCACACAGCTGCGGCCGCAAGTGAATGCGACGTAGTTGCGACGCGGCCCCTACTCTCGTCAAGCTTCGGCGTGTTTGCCGCTTGGGGCGGGTCGGGGATCTACTAACGAAACGTCATGCGCAGGCCTTGTCTTCTAGGTGGTATTGCCTAGGCGCACACTGGGTGAACGTGCAAGGCCAGTCGAGGCCTTGAAAAGCGCGACTCCCTCGCAGACAGGCGGACCGAGGACTGGCTGCTGGTCAAGTCTCCGCTGCCGATGCTGCTCATCATCGCCGCTTATCTGGCCGTGGTTCGGTACGGGCCCCGGCTGATGGCGTCCAGGCAGCCCTTCCAGCTCAAGCCCTTCCTGGTCATCTACAACTTCTCCGTGGCTGGACTCAACCTATACATCGCCGGGGAGGCAAGTCGGAGCCGCGCAATCCAGCGCGTAGATACTCAACAAGGCCGCCACCTTTATTTCACCTGGATATAGAATAAAATAATTTTGTGAATTTCGTAAAGGCGTCAGGCGCCGAAGGGAGAGCGCGCGACATGAAAGCGCGGGCTATTTCGCGCTTTTAGCTTTGGCTGCATTCTCAGCTTATGACCGTTCTCCGCAAACCCATATTTAGGAATAAGTATACTCCACGAGAGAGCCATACTTTCAAGAACTGGCGCTGCTTCTTAGGAACTCATGACGTGACGGCGTTCCAACTGAGCCTTACAGACAGCCACCAAACGCAATTTTGAAATCTGTCGATTCATCTTAAAATTAGTTTCCGTGACTTCTATGCCTGCAGCCCAGAAACACTAGTCTTGGCTAGTGTTTCCGGGCGGCCGGTACATGGACCACAACTAATACCCCTGTCAGACGGGCTAGTTTAGTGTCACTACAAGCGAGTGCACTTCGCGCTTAGTGTCATTTCTGTAGTGTGCCACACGGCTCCTTCCTGAGGAACGCACTTCGCTTGGAGTGAGTTTGACGAACTCACTTCGCTCGATCGAGCGCGTGGAATCAGTAGGAGTGTTTCAACAGTAAAACATATCAACACAGATACCAAAAGCGTTGCGTAAGTTTTATTTTATAAAGAAAAATAAATTCGTGAAAGAGACGACATGTAAAAAAGTGGCATTGCAAAAAAAAAAAAAAAAATAGTGGGGTGGACTTGGAGTTTAGGCTGATCTGAATCAAGATTAGCGGAGCGCTCAATTGATAAAAGACGACGACAAAGTCAGTCATTCATGGCTATCTTGGTTAGCAGAGAATGATAAAACCTACTTTTGTTTCAGCATGTAACTATTCGAGACAACACGATAATTATGATTTGATTAGGCAGCGTCAGGGGCCTCCTCTTAGACTTCCGTGGAACGAAGCCGAACGCCAAAGTTGGATATGCTTCGTTCTTTATCTTGGCTTGCAATGATCGATCAGAATCAACCAATTTCCATAAAAATCGTTCATTAATGTAACGTTGTTTTAGAGCACAGCTCCTAGGCACCCGTTTCTGTGTTGAGCGGCGTCGGCGTAACCGCGCGTTGCATTAAGGGCTGTTCCCAAAATTACATCACTCGCGACGTCACGTGTGACGTCACGAGGGTAAAATTTTCCCGCTAAATATTGCGGTAAAAGATTTTGCTAGTTTGGCGGAAAATTTTTCAGCTAAATTTAGAAGACAATTTTTACCCGTGTGACGTCACGTGACGTCACACTTAAAATTTCAGATGACGTGTCATGTGACGTCACACGTCAATTCAGCGGGAAATTTTCCCGGCTAAATTTAGCGGAACATTTAGCGAAATGTTTACGCTAAGTGGGATGGGAACAGGAGAGGAGGATGGGAGGGTACGGAGAGGGAGCAGCTGGTATACCCTCCCCTTCGTACCCTTCCTCCCTCCTCAAGATCTGCGCTCCAATTCGGCATTACAGAGAATTGTAAACGTCAAATTTTTTTAACGTGTCTTTATTAAGGGGTATCGGTGGCCGAGTTGGCAAGCGCCCACCTGATCGAAGTACGTGGAGAGAAAGCTCGCGCTGGAGAAGAACCCAGTGATCCTGAGCTCAATCCCCCATCCCTGCCCGAAGAACACACTTCCAATGAAGTGAGTTCGGGGAGCACACTACGCTCGCTCCGGTAGACCAAGTGTGTAATCTCGATAGCAGTGTTCAAGGAGTTAAAATAATAGAAGAAATTAACGCTGCGTAAAATTAGTATTATTTTGATAGGAGTAATATTAGATGCGCACTTGTTTCCTGTTGGCAGGAAAGTAGTGCATTGTAGAAAAACAAGCGGCTAATCTAGTTTTCAACCTTGGCCCCTGCGCGACGGCCAGCGACGGCCAGGAGGCACCTGCAAGACTCCACCAGGAATCTGAAGGTGGCAGGAGAGACGCGAAAGGCTTGCTTGAAATAGAACTCGCCCAAATGGGGCAATGTGTCTTCGAACCACCGTTCGTTCCTCTGGAAAGTCCACCGTTCTCGAATAATCACGGGTAGGTTGTCGGTCATTAGAGCGGCTATGGTGAAGGCATTGGCCGGCAGCTGCTGATCGATGTCACTTGAAATTCTTGCCTGTGAGTCGGCATCCAGGTCCAGCTGCCTCTTATCTGAAAGGCGTTGGGCTCTCACGGAGAAAAGTGCCCCAACCACGCGCTTCGACTCTCCAACATCGCGGATATCGCCCTCCAGCTCGTCCTCCACAGACTCCATGCATGATGTTTCATTGTCACGAGTGGCGAGTGGCCGAGTGGGCTCGCGCACACCAGCTCGGAGCACGCGAAGCGAAAGCTCGCGCTGCAGAACACAGGAATCCTGGGTTCAATCCCTACTTCTGCTCGTTTCAATCTATACTCCGTTTCACCTCATGTTGTGCCGCAGCGAAGGTTAGATGCGCGAGATCATAGCGTTGGGAGCTACTCTTAACGCACGAGAGCTTGTGCCGCCGAGATGTGCCCTAGAGCAAGGAGCTCGCGCTTGTAGCCTTTCCTGCGGTACATCATAAGGTAAAACAGAGTATCGTACAGTCGTGCGGACATGTATCACTGGCTTGAAATGGCTGATCGTAATGATCAAATTGGATTTAAATTAAGATTCAAACTCGTGACTTAGCGCAACAATGTGCGGTAACGTGTTTCTAATAAGACGACGAAGTTATTTATGAAAAAATGCGTATGCACTGTAATATGTTGCGTGCCCATTACTTACCCATCGTTATTGCCATCATTTTGGAGTGATACTAAGTTTTCCCGTGTAGCACCAACACACTTGGAGTGTGTTTCGACGGGTTGAAGTGCACTCGCTTGTAGTGACACTAAACTAACCCGTCTGACAGGGGTATAAACAAAGAAATAAAAGTGAAAAACTTTCGTTTTTGTACCCCTTTAAGGGTAAACCTTGGCGCTACCTACACTACTTATATACCCTTTAAGGGTATATAGGTAGTGTTCACTGGCGGCCACAGCTGCGGGCGTGGCTACTGAGCGCGTGCTGACGGCGAGATTCCAAAGTTATTTTGCAACGTGCATTCCTCACCATCAAGATTGCCGGTCCTAGCAGGCTATTGATGTGAGCTCGTTTTGAGTATGCGCTCTTAAATCGCCCTCAAAAATGGCGATCAGTGAATACTACACATCTTACAGCGTGCCCTCGACGGACGCTCTAAGAAATGGGGGGTGTGTAGGGGTACAGCTTTTGTCCCAAATGTAACACCCCGAAACAACAATTCGACGTTCAGTCCACAGACGTCGAACCGAAGATACCAACTTTCAAGAGCGGCTTGATAGTAGACCGATACAACTTATTAAAATAGCTAATGTACGTGTTGAAGGCTACAGTAAGACAATCATATTATTTTTGGCCCTGCTAAAACACCCCAGTGTTGTTTGTTTTTTCTAGACTTTCATGCGCACATTAGTCATTTAATAGGTTATATCCAACAGCTATCAAGCCGCTCGTAAAAGTAGGTATCGCTAGCTCGACGTCAGTGAACTGAACGTCCAAATGTAGTTTTGGGGAGTTACATATGGGACAAGGGCAATACCCGTGTACACCCCCTATTTCCAAGAGTGTTGAACACCGAGCTAGATATATCTGCGCTTCAGTGCGTTCATAAAACTGTTCTTGCCGCCGTTGAGGCACGAAACTATATGGTCAATGACGAAGCAGCGTCTAAGTAACACGCGCAGCGCAAGTGCCGAGTTGAATATAAAGCGGCACACCTAAAGAATGACTTTAAAAACAAGCATGTCTCCCATGGAAAAGCATAGGAAACCGGGCCCGCGACAGGCTGCCCATCATCAAAGAGTCATCTGGTGAGGCCGGTTTCAACCAAAGAGAGAACTTGATCTCTCAGCTGCGACGCGCGCAGTGTGCGGATATATACGGTGTGAAAGTTGGTCCGCTCTTGAATTGCGCACCTCGTGAGTTTGCTTACCCCCGAGATGCGCCCTTGTGCTTTTGTTCTCCTCCGACCTCAATCAATGACGGTGCGCGCTTGACCGTCTCGTGATCGCGCATTCCCGGCCTTTTTTATCTTGCCTTTTTAGTGGCGTGCTCCTACTAACATTCAGATACGCCAAAGATAATATTTTGAAGACGCTCGCCGTATACTATATATACGGCACCGTGCACCTGAATCAACCTACAGATATGTGTGAACCATGTCTTAAGAGTTTACCTCAACATGATTGCATTTTGGTGAAGCAGATGAAAACTGAGATTGAACACTAACAAAACAAGATTTATAACATTTGCCAGTCAGCCTTCTTCCACGCAAAGGAATTATTCTATTAACCACGAAGGCATAGAAAAAGTTCGAACATACAAGTACTTAGGAGTAATTTTTTCAGAGGACCTCACCTGGAACGATCACATCAATAACACCATTGCAAGTGCATGTAAATCACTGGGATACATCAAACGCAACCATTCCGCTCATCTCAGACAGTCAAACTAACCACCTAAAAAGCAGTTTCGCCATCCAAACTCGGATACGCCAACATCATCTGGTGGCCTCATCAAGCACGCCTTCTTAACAAGCTCGAACCTGTTCAAAACAAGGCATCGCGCTACATCATGCATGACTATCCACGAACCTCAAGTGTCACTATTATTAAAACCAACCTGGAGTTGAAAGCCTCTAACCGTTAGAACCAAACTAGCCCGTCTTGCTTTCCTTCGTGGCATCTACTACTCATCATCGGAATTTCGTAGCCTATATCTCCAAGATCTATCTTACATTTCAAAGCGCTGCGATTATCTACTAAAAATTCAGCCTCTCTTCTCCAGAATTAACAAACTTCAAAATTGCCCCCTTTTATTTGCTATTGCCGACTGGAATTTTTTACCCGCTCACATCATCCATGAAACTAATACTAATAAATTTCGCGATATTTGAAATTATCATTTGTAAAGTGTGATCAAAGAATGTTCTTTGTGTGTTTTGCTGTTTACCTTTTAATATTGTGCATTGAATGGTGTATTTACCCCCACCCCCTCATGTAATGTATCCCAATTGGGATACCTTTGAGGAAAATAAATCTGACCTGATCTGATCTGATGAAAAAAACTGCTATCAAAAAGTCACGTTCTGCCAACTAAAAATAATTTTCTAGATTTTTTAACTAATACTCGGTCAGCTAGAGGTAGGAAGTGCATATTGGTAGGCCACTTGGTCGCATACTTTTCTCCCTCCCGTTTATCACCTCTTCGTATACAGTTATATTATATAAAAGAAACAAACGCGTCATTTTTTTTATTAAAAATTGATCTATCTTAACTTTCGCTTCCAAGCAAGAATTCGAAATGTCCCAAAAGTAACACCATGCCATAGGCTATCCCTTACCAGATATGAACGCACCTCCTCTGTATATTAAAATAGATTCTGGAAATTCTATTGACATTCATTTTGTGGCATTATTCTATTCGGCCAGTAATGGAAAGTGAAGTGAAAAACTATAGAAGTACTCGTGGTTCCGTTCCCTTTTCAGATATTGTACTGCATAACCAAGCGGAGATACAGCTGGTTGTGCCAACTGGTCGACTACAGCGACAACCCGTATGAAATCAGGGTAAGTCTCCTTTGTTTATGAACAGATTAATGTCCAATCGACCGAGCTGAGCGGACGTCTCGCGTCGAGCTTCGCCATTGGATCGCCCGACTTGCCTCTCCGGAACCGATTGCGACACCGTTCAACATTCGGTACATCCAGGAGGGCCACCGGATCAAATGGCCACATTTTGTGACCGAGTGAGTTTTGCGTCTCTGACTTACCTCTACTTCTTGCTCGTCCCCGGCGACGAAGGGAGCTAGGCCTCGTGGTAGGCCTAGCGCCCTGTGTGCTCGCTGACGGCATGGCCATGCCCACGGTGGTCTCGCACCTGCTTTTAACCGCGCCGCAGCATGCCGGATTAGAAGAGAAAGATCTCATCATTGTAACTATATCTACCTCAAATTCACCCCTCTGGGCTTCTTTACGGACTCGCCATCGACGATAGCCATGACTTCAGCGGTCGAGTCTCTTGTCATCCGAGGTACTGTTTGACGAAAGAAATCCGAGCCCCGTACCGAAGCCATAAACCTACCTCGAAGCACGCAAGACACCCGAGTGGATCCAGCCTCGCTACAACTCAGCGAGAAGCCGGCGGGGACGAGAGTGCTGACACCGAAATAGAGCAGGTCGATCTTCCTTCTGCCACTCCGAACACCGCAGATCGCCACACCGTTTCGTGTGAGTCGCCCCCGCTCGTCGTGTCTCAAGTGACGCCTAGCCCCACAGCCTCTAAGTCAAAAGCCACCTCTCGCCCGGACAGAAAAGACGGCGATGCTGACGACGATAACGTAGGCTGGCAAACGGCGTGCTACCGCAAGCACAAACCGCAGCAGCTACGGCACTTCTTCGGCACAGCGCTCTCGCTCTTGTCTTCACCAGGCCACCCAGACTCTGCCACCAACGAAAGACCCAAATTTCTGATCGAATTCCATTCTCGGGACAGGTATGACCTTACTCGTATACCTGTCTGCACGATCCAGAGCGGTTTCTACGCCACGTTAGATCCACATGCCTCAGCCTGTGACACGAAAGACACTCCGTACCTCCCAATAGGTAAAGCCACTAACACCATCTCCGTTACGGCACGAAACCGCACGCACGCTGACCAGCTCCTCGTTATGCACACCCTCATTGCCCCCGACCGGGCGGTTGACGTTGTCATTCACGAAGCCAAGATCGGAGACACCATCCGTGGCGTTGCGCACAAAATCAATCCTGAAGGCACCTTCGAAACGTTGCTCTGAGCTTTCCGAGACAACTCACACGCAATAATTAACGCCAGGCCACTCGGTAAGATCGGTCTAGCCTTGGTAGCGTTTTAAGGACATCGACCCCCGAGAACTATCCTTTACTACGACGTAATCATCCACGTTACGTCCTACTCTCCTACAACCGTGGCTTGTCGGCGTTGCCACGGCCTGGGCCACAAAGAGCATGTCTGCACCGGACCACCAAGGTGCCCTGACTGTGGCTGTATTGTGAACAATTACCACGTCTGTGAACGCACGTACTGCACTAACTGCCGCGTCACAACGCACCTCGCCACCGACCCCAAGTTTCCGGTCAAGCGTGAGGTTGACCAGCAGCTCCAAGAGCGCACTCAACGGACGGCACGAACTACCACCGCAGAACTCGGCGCACCTCGTGAAGGCCACCGCAGAGGGAGCAAGGCCCGACGTGCCACCGCCTGCACATCACCATCCCAAAGCAGGCCCCGAATTTAAGAGTTCAAAACCGCTGTCGGAGGTAACGTTTCCATCGGGGAATTTGCGCCACTGGTCGCCACATCCAACCGGTTTTCAGCCCCAGAGCTTAGCGACCTACGAAGCGAAGCCACCCCCCCCCCCCCCCCCGCCCCCGGCCCCCATCGCAGAAGTAGAAATAGCAGATGGTAGAAACAACCACAACGGCAATATCAGCCCAGTCGCCCATATTGCTCACATCCACCATGGGCAAGCTCATGGAATGTATTGTCCTCGCCCGCTTTCAGTGGCAGGCAGAACAGCTCAAGATATTCCACCCCACACAAATGGGTTTTCGTAAAAATCTCAGTTCACACGACAGCCTGGCAACGATTTAGAAAGATGTCGTCGAGCGCCACGTCATTAGCACACAGCTGCGTGCCCTTGTCACGGTGGATATTCAAAAAGCCATTGACTCCGTTCCCCACGCACCGATCGTGTCCTCCATGTACGAGCAGGGCCTCGACGGCAAACAGCTCGAATTTGTGTGCTGCATCCTTCATGGCCGCCAGTACTTAGTTAGGACACGGCCCCGATGCGGTGGGTAGTAGCACGAGGCTGAACCACGTCGGCGTGCCCCAAGGCGCGGTACTCTGCCTGACGCTGTTTAACATCGTCGTGGTCCCCCTTCTCTGGACAAGAATCCCACACTTCCGCGCCTCGGCTTATGCCGACGACATTACTATTTGGACTTGCAACGGCAGCCACTCTACCCAACGAATCGTGCTCCAACGGGGTCTAGACACCATCAACAATTATCTGGACCATGTCGGGCTCGCACCGTCACCAGAGAAGACCATGTATACGGTCTTCGGCAAGGGACATGCGAACCTCAGCCTCAGCCTAAAGTTCGACAATCAACCCGTGGGAAAAGCATCCAGCATCAAGATCTTAAGTGTCCACTTTGGCTGACCCACACGTCACGACAGAATGGGTCAAGGCAATCACCAAAACCTGAAAAAAAGGCCTCCACCTAATCCGGCGCATCTCGCACCGGCTCGGTGGCGCAGGTGAACGCACTGCAAATCCCCTTGTCACCTCAATCTTCGTATTGAAAGTCGTCTACGCGGCCCGTTTTTATCGCTTCAAGCGCACACATTGGAATAAGCTCAGTACCCTTTGCAACAGGGGGCGCCGCACCATCCTGGGACTTCCTCGTGTCACGAGCAGCGCCGAAGTTCGGAAATGCCTTCACTTCATCGATCTCAAAGACACCCAGAGGGTGCCTCAAGACAGCGTGGTAGCGCGCTACCTCAAAGTCGCCGTCTCCGCCGACAAAGACCCCCCCACCCTCCCAAGCCACCCTGGAAACTGATCGACATTACACAACAATCCAGTCCGCATCCTCTCAACACGAATCGCAAACGCCATATCGAAGAGATGAGCATTACGTTCGACAACACTTCAGGATTCTGGATTCTTCCTCGGGATTCTTCCAACACTCTAGTTTATACCGACGCGGCCTGCCATCTGCAGTTTTCTCTCGCCCACACAAGACGTCCCCCGATTCCCCCTTCGTGTGCACGAAGCCCTACAACTCGCCATCCTCTCCAGATCTTGCAGAGGCCCGTGCTGTGCTCCTCGCGCTCCGGACTCACCAATTCCACGCGCGTGAGGCGCCCCACCTCGCCCCCCGCAACGGCACTCGTCGTCGTGCCCTTAGAAGCAACACTTGACACACAGCCCTACAGTCTCGGGCATCTTCAAGACTGCCCTCAGCCTATACCGGAACTACGCCATCCACACATGTATCCGCTGGATACCAGGGCACGCGGGCGTCGCAGGTAACGAGCGGGCCCAGGGAGCCGCTATGGAGGAGATGAATAAGCCTCAACCTCCCCCCTCCTCGCAGTCTCCCACCTACCTCTCGCTGCCGCCGCGTCCTGACTTTTTCGCCGATGACACCGCCTGCGATCCTGATGATGAGATGCGCCTCAAACAAAAATGGAGACACCGTCTCGCTTCTTTCTGGACTCCGGAGCAGTTTCCGATCCCTGGCGGAGTCCTCCGGTGAGCACACATGGTGTCCTTACGCCGAATCGGTAGTGGAAACGCCCTCACGTCCTATGTGCTTCAATTGTTTCACACCACCCACAAGCGCCAAACTGGTCCATATTATATTACCACGGAACCCAGCTGGCCAGCGCTGCAAGGACCCGGAAAAGCTTAACCCAAGCTTCATCATTTAATTTGCGGAATGCGCAGCATTGGTAGCACACCGCTCCGCAGCCTGGTCCCTTCTGGTGCGCCGGAGGCGAATTCTGACCTCGCACCTCGAATTTGTGTCGCGGAGCGGGCTAGAAAGTTCGGTGAAACTCCCATCCCGCTTCCTCTTTTTTCATCCAGGGACTTAGACGCCACGCCAAAGCTGCGGCCGCGTCGCGCCGGACTTCTGACCCTGGTGTAATCCTTAGGTTAAACAAACGTCTTAACAACGACAAAAGTTTATGAACAAGCAGTGGAATTGACGGTAATTAAATGCAAAGATGCAAGCGGGCTGGACAAGAATGACGAAATTAATCCCTGGAGAAGGGGAACACTGCTCGGGGTCCACACTGTTCATACATCCTACAAAAGACGGTCTGCAAATACCAGTCGCCGCAATATCCGTGCTTGGAATGCTCCTTGCCAAGTTTTCTCCTTGAACTCAATGCCACGTGGCATTCGAAGCAAGGATCTCGAGGTGACTAGCGTTCGAATCTGTTTGATTGTCTTTTGTACGATGAAGAAGCAGATTTTTTCGGTCGCGCACCAGTCACCTAAAATTTGTGTTTGTCCTTTGTCCCCTTTGTTCCCCTTCTCCATGGTTTATTCGTCATTCGATGGCAAGTTTCTTTTTTATGCATAAGCCCCTGCAGGGACACGTCCGGATCGGTCCCAGCAGCGGCTTAGCAGGGGTTTCAGTGGTTTCCGCGCGTCCCTGTTCACGTTCTCCCAAGTCACGTGACACTCACACGGCCTTGGATTGGCTCCGATGGCTCGAAGCATCCGCTGCGCTCGGACGTAAGGTGAAACGGAGTATAGTGACGGGACGAAACAGCCGAAGTTTGGTTTTGGAGTGTTTCGGAACGTTCCGAACTTTTGGTGACGAAGTTCAGGCCCGACGATGTGCAGTACTGGTAAGTTAAAAAGATAAAGGGAAAGCGACATAAAAGACCAAGACGAGACAAGACATGTTAACCCAAAATTTCGGCCGTTCCTGCGTCCCTGAAGTTTTTTTTTTTTTTTTTTTTCTTTTACTTTATTGTCGGCTGCGTTAGGGCAAACACAGGCATGAACACAAAGCAAATGAAAGGTTCACCATGATATCACTACTGCTTTTGTTGTTCTTGCTTCAGCACTATAGAGAGCAAATATCAAATTTAAGGGAAACTGGTCATTCATCTTGCGAGTCCTAGTGCTTGTAAAAAAACGTGCGTGAAAAATAGTCAGTTGCCAGCGTGGTTCAGTTTCGAGTAGAGAGTGTAGATGATTGCATCCGCGTGCATTGCTATCGTGAGTGCTTGCCGTCAACACGTTTAACTCGGGCGTATTTCTGCCTCCCGAATCGTAAAAGGTATGCAAATTAAAGCTTTTATTCCTTCGTTTCTTTTTTCGTGTGTATAGGCCAACGCGCTGTTAACGAACAAGCTCTCACGAGCTGTAAGCGAAAGTTTCCGCACGAGGTGTGGCCACTACGCGTAAGCAGGAACCGCGTCAAGTCTGCGCATGCGCCCTGCAGCGCCACGGCAGCGGCATGACGTCAGCGCCACCTGCTGGTCTTTCTTGACGCCATGGGTGACTTTGTTCAACGTCGAATCGTTAAGTCGGGGTCACGCTCCCTAGCCAAAAACCCAGAATAACTTTCCAGAGTGGCCCGGCGGCCCGACCCAGAGCCCAAAAACGCTTGGGTTTTGATGTTTCATCCGTCTTGTAACTTCTTGCACAGCATCGAAGAGAGCGGGCACGATCTTTACGAACGCCGAAAGCTTCGAAAGGCCTTCACATGCGATCCACCGGAAAATGTGGTCACGTGGTGCGGCCGGTGCCGAAAACGCAGCTTTCACTTTGGGTTTTGACACGGCGTGGCGCCACCTTCGTGTAGGGCTTGGTGCGCATTCATGTAAACGTTGCCGCGTCGGCTTCATTCGAAGAACGCTTGCAGTCGATGCGCTGAAGTCGTATTCATGGAAACGCGGTTCCAGATAAGGAGCGGGAAGCCGACGACGTTGCAGTGGCTGCCGCCGGCGGCCTTTCCAGCATGTTCTGCAGCCTGTTATGGGTGGTTTATTGGCCGCGGCAGCAGAGTGCGGCGGTCCGAGACTGAGTAAACTTTCCGAATTTTATTATTTTTTAAATTATCACGAAATTTCTCTTCGCTCTATCTGCGGGAGCCGCTCACTTTCCTTAGCTAAAAACAGACACAAATGCATTGAAAAAGTGCAAACGGGAATGGGAAATCGTGATCGCTTCGCTGCAGCCGCTATTTCGTTACAGCTGGTCTCGACAGTAGTTAAAAAGATAGGTCACCGAGTGAAGCCAGCAACAGCGGATGCCAATTTCAAGACACCCTTTGCTAAAGTCAACGTAGTGACGCATGCTAAACTCGGGCGGGCCGGTGCGGGGGCGACATTTTGCGTTCGAAGGCGTTTGAGTGCGGAAAAACGTCCTTAAGACACAAAGCGGCTCGTTCCTGCCGCATACAGTTAACACATTTTTCAACATCAATTTCGAAGTTCACACAGCGTGTCCCACCTAAAGTTTTGCGTTTTTGCAGCGTAAAAATAAACTGCGCATTGCCGAAGGCTGCGCCTCCATTCAAATATATATATGCCCAAGTTTCAGAAATGCAATCTTATTCAAAAGAATATTTTTTAATTATTAATGATGAAGCCCTTTTCTTCATCTTAGTGTATATGTGGGCCGGCCGCCATTTTTCTATTTCGAGAGTTTCAGAAAATCACTTATAAATATTGAATAAGGTAACGGCTAATTCTGAAACAATGCCATCTAGTCCGAATGGCGAGTGCTACATTTGGGCCAAGACTAAGCATTCCGCAACGGAAAGTTTCTATTTCCTGTGTATACATTTCGGCGGAACTCCGCCTGGTTAGGTAAGTAATAAGAAAGGTTACTTAGTGCACTCTAACCAATTTCTTCAATGTGCCCGACGTTTCGAAGCCGGCTCGGCTCCCTGTTCACGGGTGACTGGATATGGGCCCAAATGTAGTAATCTCTTTGGGAACCTTTCTTATATTTCTGGTGGAAAAAATATTTTTGAGGAAACTGTATAACGTGACGAGAAAGATCCGTTTGCCTGAATTTTTCTACTTGAAATGGTCGAGAAGAAAAACAGGCGCTTTGTTTTCATTGTGAACACCTCGGGCGCATTTGTAAATCAAAAGTAGGGCAACAATTCAGCTTTTCTGGCATTTCAGATTGCCCGCGCCTTGTGGTGGTACTACATGAGCAAGCTGATCGAACTGATGGACACTGTGTTCTTTGTGCTCCGTAAGAAGGACAACCAGCTGACCTACCTGCACGTCTACCACCACTCCACCATGTTCTTCTTCTGGTGGATCGGAATCCGATGGGTGGCAGGAGGGTCCGGTAAGACGAATGGCTGAATTAATTATGAATCGCGCAATGAACTCTTAGTATTGGGCAGTAGCTTGCGCCGCCTAGTGAGGCTCTCTCGCTTCTACTCGCTCTCTTTTCTGCCTGCGTGATCTTCCCCTGAGCTTGCTAGTCTGCGAATTCTCGCCAGTTTAGTGTTGGGTAGTCCGTTAAAGGCCCATTCACGCAATAACGTTCGACTGCCTCGGGCACGCCCACAACAAACGCTTTATAAGAGCCGTCGGACGTTTTGTCGCATATGAATATGGCGCTTTACGTCAAGGTACGACTGCCAGTTACCAAGACGTCTGTGCTTGAAGTGTGTCAACTAATGCAGGCTTGGCAGACGGCATACGAAGCCCAAACACAAGCTTGCTGTTGTATCTCAACACAGTCGAAGGTGTGACAGCAATTTCATCTTAGTGCCAGGCAAAACTGCTGTCAATGCCTCGTACAAGGCCCGCGCGTCATCAAGAGTGGATGCCCGACCCACGCACCCAAGCACGCTGAAACGCGACGAGAATGCGCAGCGGCTGATGACGTCGCCGCCTGTTGCGCCCATTGTGCACAAAGGCAGCAAGACTCGCACCGCGGCGACGCCGACGCCAACTAGGCTGCGCTGCCTTCATCCACTACTGATGAGGAGGACGGGGCTTGCTTTCTCTTCTCACCTAATCTGCGCTGCAATGCCGAGGCTAGCGTAGCTTCCACTGTGACCATATCCAAACAATCGCGTAATTTTTGGGTGAAATGTGCGCAATCGCAGAGTGCGTGCATTCCGTCAATGACAATATATGTGGACTCTGCGAGTGCGTACACTTCACCATTGATTATCCGGAGAGACCCGTGCTTATTTCGAAATGGCAAGCTGTCAACACAAACTTTGAAAAACAGCGTTTGTGCGAGCAAATGAGGTTTTGGGTCATAACGCGGTTTATATACGCTCGATTAGCATTTAGTTGTGTGAATAGATTGGAGAAAGAATTGCATCTTAAGAGGGTTTTAAAAGTAATGGGTTACATTTTTTTTTAGTATTCAGTACCCTACGCAAATACTCTTTAAAGTTGGACATGAAGTACTCAACTCATGTACTTTTACTCAAACCTAACTTTTGTTTTGTACTTGGTACAGGCCTGTCTGGGGGGAACTTTGGCGAATACCCAGCATCTGGCGGAAGAATGTTCTCATTAACGTATCTTGGCTCCGTGCACCCCAATATCAACGACTGTTTCAGAAGTGCTAAAGCGTTCATTGATGCGATCAAACTTCCCGTTGGGTTCAGAGCAACTGCCCGCAGCGGTGAAAGGTCGAGATCGATCCTCGAGCACTCGGTGCCTGATTTGAAAGTTTTGGCGCTGGTTTCCGCTCCATGCCCAGGAATTCTTGGGTGGCGTGAGCTGGCATGGCGTGGGGTTCGAGTGCGTGCAGTAAAAGCTGGTTAAAATATTTGCGTTTAACAGTGACCGACTGCACTAGGACAGGACACATTGCGGAGTTGACACATTGCGGACACATTGCGGAGTTACGCGGAGTTGAAACGAGGTGGCGCAAGTGTGCAAGTAGCCCTGACTGAAAGTTTTGCACTCTTTGGCAGATCCAATGTACGCACAATATCTAAGAAATACTACATCAGTATTAGGATTATTTCGAGCCTATGGTCAAAGAACGATGAGCAAGAAAAGAATAAACGCACCGGAAGTTCTCGAGGGCTAACTGACAGACGAAGCCAGCGTGTTTCCTTGTGCGGTTCTGAGAGGTCGTAGCGCAGTCAATCACAAGCAAACGCATCTGTTAGGACCAGCCTTGGGTGCTCGGTCTCATGCTCTCGGTCCAGCTCGTGGGGCCATTGGGCGAAGCGTGAGCCCACCCGTGTCCTCCCACGCAGCGGCGCCCGGGCCGAGCATCAACTCCTTGGTCCACGTGCTCATGTACTCCTACTACGGCCTCACGGCCCTGGGACCCGCCGTGCAGAAGTACCTCTGGTGGAAGAAGCACCTCACCCTCATCCAGCTGGTAAGCACCATGCCCACGTGCCAGGTCTCTCCGTCAGAGACACCATAGTCCTTCACGTTGCAACGCGAGAGTGAGTCTTGTCGACGCTTCGACCGCTTCTTGTCACGATTGGAGGCAGCTCTGCATCGGGAACGGACAAACAAGATGAGGCGCACCAGCCACGTGTGCCAGTCCATTCTGTGGCACTCTTATACGACTCACGCTTGGCGTTTATTACCGACCGAGTATCCAGTACCGGCAATCATCGTCATGTGAACTCGCCAGACGAGCAAGTTGCGAGAAAAAACAGCAAAGCCAACTTGCTTGCTGGATTCAGATCGAGTCACTAGGTTCAGTTGAGTGCTGCCCAGACCTCTTCAAGGGCCAGCCGTGGTACTCGTGCACCGGGGGCATTGCTCGGAGCCGTCATGAGCAGCGACTACTTTCTCCCCAAACTTGGAATCATCCGGCCTGGTGCCAGGCGATGCCCGTGCGGGCGTCAGAAGAAGAAAAATGGAAAAGTAGAAGGCCATTTCACGCCCAACAATTCGAGCCTAAATTCAACCCTCGTGGATTCCATCTGAAACTTTGTACATGTTATTCGTGACGTACCTTTCCCAGGTTATATTTGCTATAACTTTTTTTTTTTTTTCATGAAACCTCGAATTTCGCCGAAAACAGGTAGAAAGCCAATTTGTATAGGAAAATTTCAAACGAGACTGTGACATCAATATATTCTTCTAAATTATCCAAAATGGTTTCTCCAACATTTCCGAGTGTTTTTAAGGAGGCAGATGCGTTAAAAATGTCATAATATTCGCCTTTTATTTTCAAAAACACACGACTATATTAAGACTTAAAACTTACGTGAGCTACTACTAAGAGGGAAAAACTATATTTTTGGAAAGTTTTGATGATAAATAAGTCATTATGTTTCCTAAATTAGATGGACAATGCAAAAGACTCAATTAAACAAAAATAAAATGGATAAACGTGGTCGGTCTAGAAATATATACTCGAGGGTTATAGTCTAAAATTCACACAACAAACGTGCAAAGTTAGGAAAAAGTTTCTTTTTCATACTCGAAAAATAATTCTTGACAGTCTAGTGACCATTTCTAATTTTTACGAAAAAAAAAATATTTTGTACACTTGCCCATCCGAACAAAACAGAAATTTGTTTCGTAAAAAAAAAATGTTTCTTTGCGGAAAAAATTTGGAAGCACACTCTCAGTGCGAAACACTCTCCGCAAGTTTGCCATTTCGGGCGCCTCTCTCTCTCTCAAAAAAAAAAAAAAAAGTTTTGGCAACGGGTTTAGAACTATTTACTCAGAAACTACGTATAATGAAGATTGACAAAATATTTATCATTTAGTATCGACAATGTTAATTTCCAGAGAAAAATCACAAACATAGACAATTCTGAAAAAAAAAAAAATATATATATATATATATATATATATATTTTTTTTTTCTTTCGAATTTATAAATACCAGAACTTGTAGACTTTGCCAGCGTGTTGTTCTGAGTCTTGTCGATACTGGCGCTAAATATTGTTGTCCTGTGTACCGGAACAAATATTTGACAAATTCTCAAATGAGGTCATATTAATAACTGAGAATTACTTCGAAACTCAATTTTTTTTTTTAAAGGCCATCTTTGATTTTTTTTTTTTAACATTAACAGCGCAAGATCAATCACACACACCGACATCGGTGTGTGTGTGAACATCTTGTGCAGTTAACCTTAAAATATGAATCACCAACTCGCCCAAGTTTACATTTTACCAATGATAGGTACTAATAGAATTTGCACCAAAAAATGTCGAATTATCTTCTTTTTTTTGTATTTGAAGTTATCAAGCTAGAAATATGACCAAATTGAGGCTACCGCGGTACCGTGAATGGGGCGTGTAGATGGACAAAGCTAAGGACAACAAACGCAGTGCAACTCCGTGGTGTGAAACGGTTCCGAGTTTGTATTATCCGTCTGAAGGCGACTGCGCACGGAGGGAAGAAACCCTCGGGCCCGGCCGACGTCGCCCCGCTGTTTCCATCAACGCGCGCCGGAGAGCCAGGTGGAGCGCGCTAGGGGGCCTCGACGTCTTGTCGTCTACGGTGTTGCCATTTTTTTGTAAAACACGGTGCCTACACCACGCGCTCACAGTAAAAATTTAAAACCGCCGTCCGCCTCCGCACCGTCAATTTGTCTCTTCCTGACCACCCTCGAGCATTTTTGCACCTTGTAAAAATAATAAATTCGTCATCTATGGGTGTCTGCACGCCCCATTCACGGTGGTGCGGTAGGCTCAAATCGGCCATATTTCTAGCTTTATAACTTGAAATACACAAAAATAATGCAACATGTTTTTGCAAATGCAGTTAGTACCTTTGATCAGCCTTAAAGTGGAAGAGTTAAACAATCGATGATGGAGTTTTATTTTTTTTAATTGGGTTTCAAAATAACTTGTAATTATTAAAATGGCCCTATTTGAGCGTTTCTCATAAATTTATTTTGCTGGCCAGGATAACCATATTTAGCGCCAATATTAACACTATACACACTATACAGGACAATACGCTGGCAAAGTTTGAAAGCTCTGGTGTTTAGAAATACGGAGAAAAACAATGTAAACATTTTCCCGGAATATCTCTAGTTTGCGATTTTTTCCTATAAATTCACAAAGTCGATACTTAATTATAAATATCTTGAGTCAATCCTCCTTATGAGTAGTTTGTGAGTAAATATCTCTAGGCCGGGAACCACAACAGTGTTTTTTGTGAGCGGCACCCGAAATGCCAACTTCGCGCAATTCGCAGAAAGCGCTTCGGGCTGAGAGCGTGCTTCTAATTTTTTTCCGCAAAGGCAAAATTGTTTTTTGCAAAACAGATTTCGGTTTTGTTCCGATAGGTATTGAGCCTTCAAGATATATATTTGTTCGTAAAAGAGTAAAAATTGTCACCGGACGTGGTCGGCCGAACTTTTCTGAAAACACCCAGTACTGAAAATGTTGCAAATATATATTAAATTTTCAAAGCGACAACCATAAGGTGTTAGGTATAAAACTACATACTTTACGCCTATATGTAGCTTGTAACTAAGACAAGAAACGAGCAAATATAATGCACGTATGACTTAGTGAGGCCATGCGCACAATGCCTCGCTGACGCACGCCTTCCTTTCACAGTGCGACCGCGGTTGATGCAACATGCTATCCCAGAGTCACTAGCCAATCCAGCACCACGTGACATCCAGCTCGCGAAGTGCAAGGCGAAACCGGAAAATCCCATCCTCTCTGTGCTGGATGATTGACTGGTGGCTTGTAGCGACCGCTCAGAACATCTCGGCTATTCAGTCGCCCAATCCTTGTTGTGTGTCTGCATATTTCCCCGGCTATTGCATCTCCTGACACGAGTGTGAAGACTATATGTACTCATGGCTATATTTCACCATAAATGCGAGGGTAGCCGAAGACACGAGCGCACTGTTTCTATAATCTATGGCTTGTATTGACGTCAAACCAGGGAAGCCAAATCAGTGCTGTAAGCTGAAGTCCCTGGAACAAATTAACGCCTTGGCACTTCTTAGAAGTACCGACAACCATGTAAAGTTAAAGTTCTTCGCGCGGCAGCGAGACACAGCTCCATGACATGACTACGTCATACATGCGTTGCTTCACATTGGTCCTATTTTTGTGTGGTGCGGCAGACAGAAATTGCACACAGAGCATTTTCCGGCGAAACGGAAAAGTTGCTCTCGGAGGAGTCAAGCGAAGGACCCGTGCCGCGAGTCCATGCAAGCTCCTGAAAACACCACCAACAAATGCTCTGGCTTGTAGCATTTGGGGCTCGTGTCGCCATCTCGTCGAACCCATTGAAAATATATAACAAAAAGTGCCCTGTCAAAATTATTTACACAAATACAGAAATACCGAGACGTCTTTCCGTCAGGCTCTCAAAATTAAGGTAGTTGACACCTGTAGTAAGTATTATCATTCGCTGTGTCACTTGTATCATCTAAATAATTTAAATGTCAAAATAGCCTCACAATTTTATTAAAAAAGCCTCCGGTGTCCTCAGGGGAAAAATCGAGGGTCGCACGACCTTTATTACATCTTTACAATGAACGTCAAAGAATCAATACATTCCTGAAACTAGGGTTGGATCGTGAAATTGGCCCATTTAGTGACGAGCGGGTGAATACCCCTTGACATCATTCGATGGTAATTATACTTTTGCCGCGTAGCAGAGGTGAGCAATCACTTTTTAAATACTGCATTTTACGCGTTGTAGGACTCGTTTTGCTTTTTTACTTTGAACTGGTTTGCGCGACTAAAATTTTATCGGTTAAGTTAGTACCCGAACGAAGCACTTCCCAACACACTAGTAACTTTAAACATATACACTTTCAATTCTAAAAAAGAAAAAAAAAAAACTGGCGATTGCTTTTCTTTTTTTTGTTTAGAATGTCGCGCAGTGTACCTTCCTAAATAAATGGTTAAATTTGAATATTTCGCACAGCCTAGTGCAGGTTACTACAATAAATTTTATTCGTTATACAAAAAGCGACGGTTTTGGGTGAGCTTTTCTCCGGTGATATTTTATCCAGAGAGCTTTTCTCCGTCAGCCGCAAACTTCGAGTGGTATGTTTATTGCTTTGAAAGATGGATGGGCCAGCCTGGTCAACATTGTCTGGAACACCCGTGCGACTGCCTGTCCTCTAGAACGCTTTTTCGAGTGCCTCGTCCAAGCGTGACGATCCTGAAGACCACCGGCTCGACTAGAAGGCGAGCGGGTCTGACGCACGCCAGTGACACGACGTCCCCTCATGCATTGCAGGTCCAATTCTGCGTGGGGCTGGGCTTCGGCATCAACGCCATCTTCAGCGGCTGCAAGTTCACCCGCTGGATGCAGTACGCCTTCATCGTGTACGCCTTCTCGTTCCTCGTGCTCTTCGGCAACTTCTACGTTCACGCTTACAGGAGCAGGGTAGGTAACCGACGCGTCGTTCGGGAAATCGTCGTCGAGACGAGGACGCACTCGAGGCGGGGAGGGCAACAATTGGCACCGCTTCAGAGTGTAACGGCCCTTGAACCGTCTTGTTGCTTCAAATAATGCCTCTCTGAAGCCTACCGCGCTCCAGATTAGTTCAAAAAGGTTTGCGACAAAGAAAAATGATATCGACTGAGCGTTCTGACGCCGTACCAAAGCTCAGAAAGTCGCATTTTCGAGTAGTAGAATGAGCGCGGAAGAGATCTACCCCAGCGATAGCGTTTTTTTGCCAATTTTGAATCTGACGCTGACTAGCGCCACCTGGGTGTGTAGGGGCGCAATTTAGTAATAAATAAGGTAAGGGCGCAACATTTAGTCCCAGTGGCCTAAATGCAAGGGTGCAAAAGCTAGTCTTCTGGGTTCAACTTTGAGGGACTAACGTTAGGGGAGCAAAGGTTGCTCCGGATACAGTTGCTCCCCCAGGGGACTAATGGTTGTGGCAGCGTATTTGCTCCCTTGAGAGAGCAAGTCACGCTCCCTTTTTTCTCAGAGTGTATCACCAATGGCGACCGCTCTGCGCTGAGCAACAAAATGGTGGAGCCCACGAAACAATCTCTGAGTGGATTGATTGATTGGGTATTCGCTTATTAAAAGGATCGAAGGCCTATGGCTTAATTGTCCCGAGGCAGGGGGGGAGTATGGCTTAAGGCTGAAAGGGATGGGGGTGGGGTTCTAATTATCGTTTCATCATATGAAATGGTGGAACCCGCTCCAGATATAGTATATCAGGGAACTCAGAATTTCTTTTTAGAGCGACAGTGTTTAGGAGCTCGTGTTGCAGAAAATATGGGTTGGCGTCGGTGGGACCAAAAAATCTCATAATGCACGTGCCCGGCCACGTGTGACGTCGCACGTGACGTCACTCGTGGCTGCGCGCGTTGCATTATGATATTTCCCCGCTAAAATCGGCGAAAGAATGTTCCCACCAATTTAGCGGAAAGTTGTTCCGTGAAATTTAGCGGAACTTTTTCCGCCAACTCTAGCGAAAAATGTTTCCGCCAAATTTAGCGAAAATTTTTCCTGCCAAATTTAGCGGGTCGTTAGTCATGACGTCAAAGCTACGTGTGACCTGATGTGAGACGTGACGGCACTGACTAGACCACGCACACAGTCTTGCACGGCTTGGCAACGAGCACGCGTTTATATGAGAGGGTTTTACGAACGGGACCCTATAACGCTATCGCGTTCCACTCTTAAAGGCTAAGCTCAAAGGCCAGTTCACACATGCGGCGGAGCTCTACAAGCATAGCGCTGACCTCGCGCTAAGCGCGTGCTGACGGGAGCGTTCGCCACCTTTGAATCGCACCGTCAAAACTGCTGCTCATGGCAGTCGATACGTAGCTGACGACATATGAGCAACCCTGCACCAGCGTTTCGCTGCATGTGTGAACAGGCCTTTAAAAACCCCGAAGATTTTTTGTTTGATTTTTATTGTGCTTGGCCTGTCCTTTGGGAGGGGTACAGTCTTGCAGCTGCTTCGGTCTTGACCCGCTTGATAGCGACTCCCACGTGTCACAGAAGTCCTCTAGGCCCTTGCAGTTCGAAAGCATATGTCATCGTGAATAACGCTTCCGTGGAGCGTGCCTTGCACACAGGATCAATGTCCACCTGTCCGTCTCTCTTTGCAAAAAAGCTGCTTTCCGCATGATGGTGTAAAGGGTGTACCGGTCCTGATTCTTCTTAGTCCCAGAGTCTCCTGCCTCTTGCATCCTGTGGGATGGCGTCGATACTCTCAGTCTACGCCTTGGACCCTAATACAGGAAACTCCAGAGGGAAATTTGGGAGGGAAATAGGAAAGCGATCCTCGCGTCTGGGAGTGGAGAACTAAACATTCTCACCGGAAATGTATAGCAAGTAGGTCTGATTCAGTAGCGAAACTGATAATCGATAAAATATTTCTTCATTTGATGGAGCAAAAGCTAGTGATATCGGACGCCTTGGTCTTTTTATGTAAGAATGCAGTGTGCTGTATACACCTGTCAGGATTTAGGGAGCGATTTTGTGCAATCTAAGTCACAATTAATCCATTTTTACCGAGACTTGTCTTATTATATGTGTTTGGCTCCAAACAACCATAATTGACATTAAGTATAGTTTTTTTTTTTTTATGAGATCGACATGGAAATTGATTGAACGACTGCAAGTGTATATTATTGATAATGATGTGCTTTTGTGTTTACACATATGAATGACTTCAAGTAGCTATTCTTGGTTATTAGCACCTATATTTGACCAGATTGACTTCAAAAGGACGTCAAGGGCTAGTGATGAGATAATTGACAATTCTGTGTTCTTTCGGTGTTAATGAAAGGGTATCGCTCCAATTGGCTATTCTTCGGTATAATCACCAAGTTTTAAATAGATTTGCTTGGTATAACGACAGATGGCTATTAGTGACTGGTATTGATCACTATGAGCTATTTTTGTGTTTATCGACTAAATTTCTGACCAGATTTTAGTCTATCTCTTTAAATTAAAAAGGTACAACGGTGTCTGTGTCGTATGACGACTCAATAGAAGTAAGAGAAAAGCACCGCTATCTTTGGGCATACGCAAAAGCTAGAATGGAAGAAGCTATCAGCAATGTAAATCTAACGGATGATAAGCTTGTAATTAATGGGAAGATGTTTACTTGGAATAGTGAAAGAGAGGAGGTTGTACCTGTGCAACGTAACTGACGTCCAACAAATTTAAAAGAAAGCGGTGCAAAAGAATTATCCGGTTTAACCCTATCTGTTCAAGCCGATATTATTCTTGGGACTGAATCATGGCTTGACGTACGACTCTATCTTAGATCATGAAGTATTCCCTAGAGGCTTTATCGTCTACAGAAAGGATAGGTCATTACACGGGGTAGTGTTATTTCTGTTAGTTAACAATAATTTGCAAAGTCACCATCTCGTTATAGCTGAAAATTTAGAATCAGTGTGGCGTCGGATGAGGCTGCCAAATAGGCATCCTGCGTTGCCCAGGAGGCGCTGCGAAAAATGACTTGTTAGGACTTGTTTTGGGTAGTACAAACTTGAGCGACTCAAACTGCGACACATATAGAAGCTTGCCTGCTCTCGCGTGGAACACGATAACGAGGAATATAGAAAAAAACGAAAAATTTTAACGCCGTCGAAGCACAGGCCAAAGCTAGGACGATAAGAGCGTGAACCAAGAAACGCCAAATCACGCGTCCCAAAGAAACATAAAGGGGAAGAAAAAACAAAAACGTCGCGACGCCAGATGCTTTAACGTTACCACTTAGAGATACGAGACGCGTACCCTAGCGGTGGTGGAATGAATTCTGAACTTTCGATTCTCTTGCGGCGTTGAATTTAGCGGATTTTGGACGCCTAAAGGTGTTTTTCCGCTCTTCTGCACTGCACAGAACGAATAAAATCACGGCGAAGACGCCACAAAAGTGGGAGTCCCAACCAGGTGAGCTTGTACTACCCAAAACGAGGGCGCCACAGTTTGTTCAAAGCTTCAGCGCAGGAGGCCCATAACCATGGGCGTACCAACCGGGGGGGCAAGGGGGGCACTTGCCCCCCCCAGTTCTCAGAGTGGGGGGGCAAGGCATGCGTTTTGCCCCCCCCTGAAACGGCCGCCACTGGGCAGAGCAGACACAGGCCGGCGGCGCCCAAGGAATACCAAGGGCACTGCCCCCCGACCCGCGCGGGCATATTTTTAACGCGCAGGCGATACAAACCCTAGCAACGGTGCTCACGCACGCCGGATTGGCTGGTTTGTGGAGCCTTGCCCCACGAACAAGGCTACACGGTAACCTAACGGAATCCATCCGCGAGACATGGGCCGGACGGGCCGTCCAGACCAGGACGTAGGCCCTTACACAAAATAAAGTTTTGCTTGCTTGCTTGGAGATAGGCGCTGCCGCCGTCAACATAGGCAGCGGATGCAATGCGAGTTTCCGAAGAGGTAGCGTAACTTAGTGGTGAGATGTCTGCCTCATACGTGTCAGACCCGGGTTCTATTTATGGTGTGGGCCGGCTTACTTCTTTTTATTTTTTTTCTCGAAAATTTTGTTTTGTCGAGGCATTTGGCGATATTTACATTTCTTTTTTACCATTAACACTAAAAAAACGAATGTTGTTGACGAAACATCGCTAAACTAAATCGTATCGACTCTATTTACGGAAGTGCATGGGGGGCAGCGGGGCTTGGGTTGCCGACCGGACGCCGCAAAGCGGCGTGTACGGGGGGTGGGGGGGCTAGGTGGGTTAATAGATTTGTAATTAGCAGCCGCACACCGTCACCGCGAAGCGGCGTGAACGAAGGCGCGGGGGTGGGTTAACGCGCTTCGAGTGATACACGAGCAGCCCATCCGGCGTGAGCGTCGTTGTTAGGGGTTCTATCGCCTACACCGTAAAAGGAGCAGTGTGTGCACCTCCTGTAGTGGGCAAGAATTCCTACATTGGAGAGAAGCGGGGACAAGCCCTTTCTTCAAATGCGTCAAGTCTCCTTGAGCTTCGGAACACAAAGAAACGCCACTATTCGGAGCTAATCCCACAGTTACTCGACCTCTCTTGCGTCGTGTCTGTTCGCTCCCCGCGCCTCGTAGCAGTGTTGTTGCAGTGGGGGGGCTCGTTAAAATTTTGGAGTTTTTTGGACTATCTAAATCACTTTCTTCCTTCCCATCCCCCCCTTTTCTACTCCGCATGCTTCCCCCTCTGCAAATATCAGCTGACCTTCCGACATCTTTTCTGTGTTGATAGGCAAAACAACCACTAAAATTAGAAAGTAATTTGTAATTTGAGTGGAAGTCACTCGGAAAAGTAGTTAAAGTAAACTACGAATTACTAGAATATAAATGTAATTAAAAGTTACTAAACTACCCAGAAAAGTAGTTAAACTACAGTAACTTGAGTAAAGTAGTTGAACTACGTACAAGTCTGGCCCGGCAGGCGCTCTGCGTAAGGGTTTTCACCTAT